GCATAACCTATTATCCAAAAATACCAGTAGGTTGTACAAATGACTTATGAGATGTTTTATAATAGAATTACCATGCAAAAAAAGTCCACAAGTCCCTTCTATTAACAAACAAACACGAATAAATAAGTAAAAAAGTATCTAATAATGATAAACATTAAAAAACTTAAAAAAAAAACAATTAATAACACATTAATGATTAAAAACTAATGTTATTTACAAAATCTACTTACAACATTGTGGACTAATTATTATTTGTTATTAAACGCGGACATCTTTTATCTATTTGATGTACCTAAACAATTTCAATACATAACTCGTCCGTATTTATTTGTCATGTAAGTAGCTAGGTAGTTTTGCTGTATAATATAATTGTTTGTATCAAAGTATTGCACAAAAGATATACCGATAAACTTATGGATATATTATATTACGCAGAATATATTGCTTCATTACAAAAACGTTGTAATTTAATGAGTTCTTAAGTCTTCAGACTTGAATAAGTTAATTAATATTGCATGTCTCTTATTTGCATTCCCGAACGACAGGAAAACGTACTTCGGTATTCTAAGAAATACCAAATTATCACTTAATTAATCACCCGTCGTTGAAACTCGATCAACCTATTTCAAACCGAAAGAATGATTTTATAAAGAAAAGCATTCATCTTTATATTTCTTCAATCGATTTAAAAAGGTCGCTTTAGATGAAAGAAGTTTTTGATAACTCCTTAGGGCTGATGCCAAAAAAATCTATCTTAATCCAAAAACATGGATTGAGATTTTAGTTAGAGATCATTAGAAAGATAAACATTGTAAGAGAAGAAAATTGTGTTTTTGTTGTGTTTACGTTTAACACAGGCTGGTATCTGAGTCAACGAACTAAGTCTGATAAGAGTCTAGCCATTTGGAGGTTCCTCGTCTTGCTCTATCAACTTCATGAAACGTAGTATTGGATTCAAACTGTAATCTCTGAAATACCCAGTTCCTTTGAAAGTGACTTTAACATCAATCACGGTTCAATCTACAAAATGGAAACAGCGCAAGTAAAGAAAAGCTGGCATTTTCCATTGAGTCAAAGAACTTAAGAAAGGGCAAAAGAGACGCAAGTATGACGCACATGGGCAGGACTTCGCACTTGTCGATGAATGAATGACCTCACGCTCATGGTGTAATAACAATATTTCTACTTCTGTGATGTTTTATTTCAGATAAAGCCCATTTATGGACAACGCATATCTAGAATTCATGATAAAGGAAATACAAATCTAGTTTGCTATAATGTCAGCCACTTAGCATTTGGGCTAACTAATGTTTATGACGTAAAAACCCATTGTATGTATGAGTACCTAAGTATTAAGTGTATCTAATAAAGGAAAAGCCAATTTGCTCACCTCTTATCACCAATACAAAAAAAAAATGTACCTTGATAACATAAATATATTAGCGTGTAAAGCTGTCGTGTGTTTTATCAAGTTGATTCTAAAATATTAGTACAGGTGACCGCATAGATTAACAATAAGGCTAAAAATATGGATTGGTGTGGAATAAAAGATTATGTTGGGGGTGATTCATAGGCCTGAGGTCAGTGCTTGATTTGGTTAAGCGAGGGCAGACAGCGACACGAGGGGAATGAAATATTATGAATAAAGACGACTTTTATTTTCCATTTCCGAGGTACATGTTGGTCAAATTTTTGTGTACACATGTCTGTACAAACATATATGTTTGCTCAACTGTTTTGGTAGCAAAGTAATTAATTTGGCGTGACTATAAACGTGCCAATAAAGATAAAATGTTACCATATCGTTTCGATTGTGTGACGTAGATAAGTATTATTTATAATTGACTAATTGAGTAGACCGATAAAAACACATTGTTAATCATATTGAAAATCCCTTTTCCGCTCAAGTATTTGTTAGATAACAGTGTTATATTTTGTGGCAAATGTTTTCGTGTCGGAATTTTATTTATAAAACTTTGGCTAATTTGAAAACAAATGCCAAAAGACAAAACGACGTGTCATTGTAAAGGTTAGGCCAATTTTAGACAGATTCTCCAACATTTTCATGTCAACCAAAATTATTTCTGAGACAAATTCCAAAAACTCGGAATGCGTTTTCAACACAGAACAGAAAATTAAGTAGAAGTGCCCCTACACTCTTTCAAAAGGAAAACCAGTGTCGCCAAAATCACACATTCGCAAATCAAATTGTCCATTACACACATAAAAAACAGCTATATAATTGGGTAAAAAGATGAAACGCAACTTTAGCGAATCATCTTCAAAATGTTGTTAAAAATTGAGTCTTATAACAATGAGCGAAAGTTGTTATCATTTCACATGTCACAATCAATAAAGGCGTCTATCGTGTAAAAAACTTAAATAAAACAATTTACAAACGGGTTCAGCCACTCAACGCTAGATGGCGCTGTAACAAATTCATTCTATCCAAAACGCTAACTTCTTTGAAATAGATGACATATTTGTATGCACTTGTACCGATAGACATTTACTATTTTGCTACTCAGATAGGGCAGGGTATCCCAATATATCGAAGTTTTTGTATTCGTGTGAACAATATAATTTATCGACACGATATACCTACAAATGATCAGTAATGAAAAAGGTTCTAATAGAAAAAAAGAAAAATATTAACATACTATTACATACATAGTATTTTTTGAAGATTTAATGTTTTTTGGAGATGGTCAAGTTATTATTAAAGATTTCGATTTTAACATATAAAAGCACTACGCGCTCCTACAAGTTTTATCTCCTTTCCAACTAAAATAGAATCATTAAAATCGGTTCATAAATAACGGAGACGACAAAAACAAAAAAAAAATGTTACAGTCGAATTGAGAGTCACTCTCCTTTTTGGAACTCTGATAAAAATCATGTACAACATTTATACTTATAATAAATCTGTAGAGGGGTCAATTCTGTACATTAAATATATTTTCAAAATAACTACCAGGGGGTGATTAGTGATCGATACTGATGCCAAAAATGCAATCAGTAAAAATTTTGTCTGTCTGTCTGTCTGTCTGTCTGTCTGAATGTTCTTTATAGAAACAAAAATTACTCGACGGATTTTAACAAAACTTGGTACAATTATTCTTTATACTCCTGGGCAGGTAATAGGATACTTTTCATCACGCTACAAATAATAGGAGCAGAGCAGTGAAGGAAAATGTTGGGAAAACGGGAGAAGTTACTCCCTTTTGTAAGTTTCAGTCGCGTGTGTAACCTTAATGTAACCATTAAGGTTACACACGCGACTAAAACTTACATAGAAATTTTGTACGACGGAAATATTTTAAATAAAATTGTCAAAAAAAAAATGTTTTACAGTATATGTCTATCTTTTATGGTTAACTCACAATAGCACGTGTAACTCCTGATAGCTTAGCAATTCGGATAATAAGACATAGCGCCGTCGCAAGTGAACACTGAATCATGGTATAAGAATTACTTTGTGTAGCGGTTGCCGTGCTCGACACGATGCGGTATAAAATATAATATAATATAGGTTTTAGATCCGTGCCTTTCTATCTATGAACGGACGGACTGCGGAGACTTAGTAAGTAATAGGGTATTTACCCATAAAAATGAGACGATAAATACCAAATTTTATGTATACTTAGATTTTGTTCTATTGCTATTTGCTGCTTTTTATCAACACGCCACGCGGGCAAAGCCGCTGGCGAAAACTAGTTATAAAATAATAAAATAAAAATGGTGATTAACCACCCGCACCTGCCACAGACGGATGCACGCTGTGTGTGGTTAAAACGTTGATGTGTCTATGCAATCTTAGTTAAACATTTATGAATTATACACAAAAATTGTCAAAAATCAATTTTCTGAACGATGATGATGAAAAATTATCGATATGAACCTATTTTACGAATATGTCGCATCCCTAAATGAGTAGCGTCGAAACTACTAGAATGTATTGTATATAACGTCACATAACGAACAAGTAGATTTAAACTTAATTGTAATGAAAATAAGGCCCTTTATAGTTTGCATTGAAGTAATGAAATGTGATATTTACATTAAAATCTAATATATTTAAAATTAACAAAGGTAATTACTCAAAGATGATACGATACACCACCACAAGACTCATCTTTTTTTCTGCTTACTTTTTTGCAGTTAAAAACCGCACAACAAGGCATAATTTCTAATATATTTCGTGTTTCTTAGAGACAACCATGACAACCAATCATGACAACGGATCGAACGATTCTGACAACAAATGTGCCAAAATGTTGTATATCTAGTCATCATGTCGGTTAGCGCGCGATGTCTGAAGGGCACTTCCACTGTATTTTCTATTCCGTGGTTTTCAACATCTCAACAGTTAACTTTAAAACAAGTTTAGATCAGTAAAGAAAAATATCAAAACAAACTCGTTTCTTCAATGTCAGTATGAAGCATAAATTAAGCAATCACGTTTTCTAATGACATGGAATTTCTTGGGATAAATTTCATTTGCCTATTTTAGTATTCCAGTGAAGAAAAGCCTTGATGTAAAACAGACTACGATTTTAATATGATCAAATTGTGGATCACAGAAAAACACATTTGATGACGTCATGTCCTATACGAGTAGATATTGCATTACCGCGGTATAATTTATCAACATCCTAACCACGGCTTATTATTTTAGCGTGCAGTTTATAAGTTGCCAAGTTTAAAAATAATTCTCCTGCTTATGTGGTTACGGATCCATTATACGTATGGATAAAATAGGTTACCTGTCTGTTTGTAAGTCATGAGTTCATGACCTCACAGATCGATATTTTATGCCATGCTGGACTATCACAAGCAATGACAGTTAGTAGAGTACTGAATTTATTTTTCAGTCAAGGGTTTCTTGCAAGGGAATGCAGATAATGCTTCAGGCGTGATTCCAAGACATTATTACTCGTTTCTGTGACAAACTATATCTTTTTTAATTTAAACATAAGTTTGATAGTAGTAGGGCTGAGAGAAAAATATTTTGGGTGACGAATCAATTTTGATTGGTTGTATATTTTCTTTAAGATACGAGTATTATGCTTCTGCGTCTTGAATATTAATTTTCTAACATTATTATTAATATTTACTGTAAACTTATAAACAACAGAAAAACAATACTTTACTACGTACTTTTGTTTTCTTAGTGACGTCACTCAGGAAGCCATATTGCTTTGCGGATGTATCGCATATTTGCCCTTGTAAACTCATGCCATTACAACGCGGGCCATCTATGAATAGAGACGTCTGGTTCTCAGAGCTGTGTGAAAACATTTGCAAGTTCATAGTTCGCAGTTAAATAGCCAGCTAGACATACGTTTACAACTATAAACCTATTTTCTGATTTGCTTTCACAAAATTCGAGCTAGTTTAATTAAATAATGCCGTCAATTAATTAATGTCTAGCGAACAATGCGTGCGAAAAAATTTCAAGTTATTTATAATAACCTGACCTGAATGTTACGTTAAAATGTTTTAGGTGATTTGGATCATTAACGATAACAGCAACCAACGAATGAAGGAGGATGGTTTTCAACGTATCGTTAATGTCTTATGCAAGGTTTCTAATACTCTTAATTAGCATGCGTAATACGTTTCACGTGCAGTTGATGACTAACCTATTTGGAGTCGAGTGTCACGCACAATCATAATGGGTAATGTTAGACATATCTCAGAACAATGTTTTCATCACAACGGACGGAAGACTACTCGCAAGTTAAATAATGTAATTATGAAATTGCTTTAATTATGAAAGCATCTTCACTGTCAGAAATTAAGGGCAATGTCAGCTGTGGCTTGTTTTTAAGTCCTCGTAAGATACGAACAGACGATAGTAATGTAAAACAGCTTAGAACGAGATCTAACCAAGAAACCTTGACACACCGAATGTGGTTGTTCGCGTCCGTCTACGCATTTAATCAACTTGTATCACATTACAGACGCCGATGGAATGGAACAGACCGGTTCAATCATAATCGGTGCGATGTTTTAAGCGCTTACTTCTATTACATTGCGATACTTTTTAGAGCAAGCAAACGACATGCGAAGTAAATGACCGACTAGAAGGTTGCTTTGGCCTGAATTAAATTAGCGGTGCGTGGTGAAATAATTTGCAAGAAACTTCAAAGTAATATGTAATATTACTAGCTATGACTGAGTACCTATACAAAATCAGCTACTCCTTGAATAATTGTGTAGTGTAGTCTTCCGTTTCATTAATGTTATGGCATGAAGGTTTTTAGGCAAGTATTTTCATTCCGCATAGTTAAAGGAATTTAAGGCTTTGATTCTGTAAAGTAAGATTATGTCAAAATAGTGCTCTTAATAAATAAAAAGAGAGAGCAAATCTCTTGAGATATATAATCGGAATTCCGCATACCAATCCAATTAGGAACAAGAAGTGCGGAAGTGAAGATTATAACGTGTATTACTAGTGCATCGGCCGAGATATAGCTACATAGCCAGCTAGTAATAGCAATACTAAGCAATTGCCATAGTTCCAATAATTATTGGAGAGCCAAATTAATTATATTTCGATTTTATATAAGGAAATACATTAGGCAGTTACTAATAAATAAGTTTAAAATATTTCGTAATGAGCAATTCGGTTAAAGGAAAGTAACAAATATATTCCAGTGTTTATTGCATACTGACGATGTTATTTACCTAAATATAACACGAAAGATCTCGTTACAATATGTACAAAAAATAAAGCATAATTATTATATATCTATTATACTAATAAGTTACTAGGAATAAGGAAATATAAAAATGACAGCCATAAAACAATCACAAAATCAAGTATTCTGACATCTTATGTTCTGGACTGCTGTCTTTAGATATATTCTGAGAAAGATATCAGAACTCGATGGATTATGACAAGCCTAAGGCGTCAAATACAATTACGTTTTCGTTGTAGGCGTATCGCTTACTCTTTGAACCAAAATGGTCCTAATAGATCTATATTCATCCATTATTATTCTAATTTAATTTATCTAAACCTAGTAACAAAACAGTGCTCGTGATCGAAGCAGCGTGATCAAAGTTCAAAGCACACAACGAAATAGAAACATTGGGTGCTTCGTGTAAAGCAGTAAAGTAATTCTAATCATTCGTGGATCGTACTCAAACGCCTAATTTTATTTTACAAAATATCGTGTACACTAAAACAAAGATCCGAACATAAGATTTCAGTCGACTACCCCTACAATTACTTCGTATATGTATAATATATAAAAATATTGCATTGGTTATTTACATTGTTTTAAAAGTCTAATGCTCCATTCTCAATCGCCAATACTACACCCGTTCATGTATTTCATTAATCACTGATATGAGCGGATCGCAAGTTAAGGCAATTACTTGATTAAGAAAATTTACTAATTTTCAAATTATATATTAATTGGGTCGGGACTATACGAATGCGTCGTAACAGGTGACGAAGCCCCATAATCCGGGGTCGTGGCTGCCGTACTAGGGGAGGAATCAATGGGTTTAGTCAACGCGGGTGCTATGTACTCTGGGAATCTGATACTAGGCTCTTCCTGCAGCGGGGCAGGAGGCGTACAGCTCGGGAATGGACTAAGTAACAAAAATGTTCCAAAAGCAACAATCGATGCCATGATCAAAATTATGGTTCTTGCTTCGAAGCCTGCCCTCAAGCCAGCCCAAGCAGCCATGTTAACGAGAAGTAGAAGAACCGAAACTCGGATAAGCCTGACCGCCGTGGCATGGATCCTCCCACCACCAACGCCGCTCATATCGCACGGGCCGTAAGCGAAAAACAGATTATGTTTATCGCCGACGTGTTTAAACATCATGTATAATAAACCGAACGGTGCGATCAACGGACACGCGAGACTATATACCATCGTAATTGAGAAAATCGCTATGCTCCAAGCGTAATGAACTCCGAAGGGAAACTCGTAAAGAATTGCTCGCTTTACGTAGCTCTTCTCTGCCTTAGATTTAGACTGTAGTAAATACCAGACGTAGAGAAACAGTTCCGGAAACCTGATCAGTTCCAACGCGGTTCCGATAAAGCCAGAAGTTATAACATAATTAACAAAGAAAGCACCTTTGTCGGGTAAAAATACGCAATCCCAGCGCATCGGGTCAGTTTCGTGGTGTATCGTCCACCTGACAAATGCTTCAGCACTGGCAAGACCTAATGAGGGCAAAATCAGAGTCATTAACAATAAGAATGAAACGGTTTTAGTCATGATGGAGTAGTTCTGTTGTGACTTAGTCCAGTGAGAAAGAAATTTATCAGAGAATGCAACAATAGCTGGCATGACAGCAGCCATCGTCCACAGAAGCAGGGTGGGGAGGAATTCAAAAATAACAGTACTAATTTTTCCTAGAGCATCAGGTTTTGCTACCATTGTATTGAACAGATTGACAATAATTGCAGGGGTTGTCAAAAAGAATAACACAATAAATAAGAAGAAATTGACTACAATAGCTTTCAGGTACCACACACCAGGTTGTACACTAAGGTTTTCCCAAATTATGTCGGAGGGGTTTGTTGCATGAGACAAAACCCAGCCATAATGCAAATTAAAGTTATTGATCACATGTTCAGCTAGCTGGTATGATGGTAAAGTTAAGAAGGCAATACCAAGAGGATCATTCAGCACCATAGCTCTGCACCTTTTTGCTTCATCTTTAAGTCGCTTCTCTTCATTGGTGTAGTACTCAAGTGCATCAAGTTCAGGACCACACCAGTTAGGTTTCACAGTTATACGCTTACCAGTTTTCTTGAAGTAAGAGTCGGTGTATATCAAGGCTTCTGTAACCATATCCTTCTTTTCCTGAACTTCATTTAACATATTGATGTTATAGGCAAGTCTGAGATCTACTATTTGGATGTTAGGGAAGTTGTTGGTAAAATAAGCTCTTATAGTGGATTCATTTCTATCAGCTTTTGATATGTTTGTTATCATAATTGTGCCTGTCATAGATGTTGGTACTGGTTTACGCCCAGTACATCTCCTCATGATCAGGACAGATATCGGGAGAAAGGAGATGCTTACTAGAGTATGTACCCATAGCCAGTTTGATCTCCCTGGCAAGTTGGACAGAGTGGTTCTACTGAAAGTACTGGAGTCCACATTCAAATTAGTGCCCTGGAAGTTTATTGGCAGAATCAGCCCAATAGACACTAGTGTCACAATGAACATCAACGTAATTGCGTGTCTTTGGAAAGAGAGGTAGTGTACAGCATCTGGGCCACACTTGGCAAGAACCTGCTCGCGAGTTAGGCGGAACACTGCTGGTAGCCATGTAAAGAATCCTTCATCTATGTTGAGGGTCTCGTCGGCGCTTCGTCTTCTGTTTACTAAAGCGTCTCCATCACCTCCGCGGTAAAATAGATTGGTCCACCGGCTCTTCGTGCGCTGAACGAGTGCCATCCGCCCATAGTTCCACGCAGTCCGCCGAAGCACAGTGAACAACGCAATGAGGCATGTCCACGACACCAAGTTCAATATTAAAGTCTGAGGAATACCGTTGTACGCACCTGTTATAATCACATTTTGTGTGGTGTTCATCAACATGCACCCTTCATCATCGGTACCGTTTGAACTACTGTTCGACACTAGAGAATATGACACTATGTTTGTATAAAGACTCATTTTTGATTTCGCAACACAGGCAGTCAGGCGATATAAGAGAAAGTATTTACATAATGAGAGTCCCACAAATCCACGAAATACACTGACACTTCACAGACAACTTATTGAAATGGTCTTATCCATACGAATTAGGAAACCATCTGGAATTTTTATTGTTGTCAGATAAATTGGATCAAAAGATAACAAAGTAAATGACGTTTGTCCGCAACACTGCTGTTGAATGAAGTCACAAGGCACAGATAACGAAAATAATATTACTGCTACAAATAGAATCAGATTTGAAGCGCGTTCCAGTTACCACCAAAAATTGAGATTTGAATGCGCTTTGCGTTTTATTTCCACTCGGGGAAATAACATCAGCATGAAAAGAGATGGCATAGTTTAATGTTATTAAATATCAAAAAATTTACAACTAGATCGGAACGCACATGTTAGTGTGGCGAATTGTCTTCGATAACGGGTTTTGTTATTGTTAAAATAACGATTTTTAATAACTTAAACATAACGTTTCTAATAAAAATCTCTTGAACTTCTTAACACCGTTATTTATAAAAAAAATAATAACCTTCTTGCTTATAAATCTGGGAGTACAAGGGAAACTAAAATTATAGGCCAAACGTGATTCGTGTGTCTGCCAACGATTTATAAACTTCTTGCATCCATTATAAGAGCAAAACTTATTAGAGTTATTGAACACAATAATGTTATATAATGATTCAAGAAGTTTCTCTTCATTGGCATGTCAAGCAGGGTCATAAGTTTCAGGAAAATGTGTCCACATCCACATGAGATATATAATCCCGCGTCACATACATATCTTATAAGGTTGTTAGAGTTGTACAAATTAGATGCAACTCTACGCACCTTTCTAGTGTCATAAAGAGGACTGTTATTTATTGTCTCATTTATACTTATCTGTGAGAACGATAGACACCTTTATGACAGAAATATTTTAAGGTGATAGTTTGAGTCCATTATAGTTGTGTTTTCCTGAATCCTCTAAACAGCTCTATTCTAGAGGGATTGTTAAAAGAGAGGAAGATAAACTATTTCTCGTCTTCTTTACATTTATGAATTTCGCCATAGCGGTTTGACTTTTTTATACCAAGAGTTCATATAATGACAATACTGAATGAAGAACCCGCTACACGTTGCACGGCAGCCTGATGCCCAGCCACCGTACTAACCGTGCAGTCGACAAAACCGGATTGGTGTGGACAAATCATTTAAAAGATAGGGAAGATTAAATTACCGAAAAAGTATTATGCAGAATAGTACGATTGACATTTATAGGACATGTTTTCCCCCAGAAGATCCATCCAACATAATATAATTTCGGGTTGTTCTCACCTAGCTAATGAAGAGAACGTTCTTGGATAGACACAACCTTATAGCCATTATTATTATTATTATTTTACTAGTTTGTATTGTCCCACTGCTGGTCAAAGGCCTCCCCATTTCGCTTCCACACCTCCCGATCCTTAGACCGTGTCCACCAGTCTCGACGATAGGCGTCTAGATCGTCACGCCATCTTTTCCGGGGCCTACCCCGCCTGCGGCTTCCATCCTTAGGTGTCCATTGGGTGACAATAGTGGCCCATCTCTCCGGATGCATTCGGCTGACGTGTCCGGCCCAGTCCCATTTTAATTTTGCCGCCTTTTGGCCCACATCAGCGACTCCTGTTTTGGAACGTATCTCGGTATTCCGTATTATGCCGTTTTATGCCTAACAGGCTACGTTCCATTGCCCTTTCATGTATTGCTTTATGGACCAGTAGATAAGTATTAGTTATTAGCCATTATTATTATTAATTATTATATATTTTAGAAATACAAACTTTTTGCATTATCTATAGTAGATAGAATGCAAATGCGAGATGTAAGCTGGCAAGCTATACTGGGATTGAACTATCATCCCTGATAGGAAAATCATGGTCAATAAACCTGACGTTGTGATTATTGATAATACATCGACCAAGCTATTGCACAATAAATCAATGATAATTACAAGACAAACATAATATTGCACAGCAGCTCCGGCCCAGCATTTAGTAAGAAGAAGAAGAAAGAAGAAGAAAGAAAGAAGAAAGAAAGAAAGAAAAACCATTTATTACGCCACGACATATAAAAGGAATACAGGTGAACACACACAAAAAGCCCATAGTGCGTCGCAGCGCAAAAGGCAGTCAGTAATAGTCTGAAATTCCCTCTCGCTCCTCCTGAGGCCAGACTAGTAGTACTATACACTTCGTACAGTATAACTTCCTCAGTCGGACTAATACTTATAAATAAGGGTTAAATTTACTTTTGTATACCTTCATACATTTATAAAATCAATTTGTGTAATTTTCTGAATTTTATGAATGTCTACTACCTTTCGGATGTCAAAAATCAAAATTTAACGGATATTTATATAAAACAGATAACTTCATTATTAAAACTGTTGTACTTTTCGTTCGCTATTTTAGATCATGGTAACATCTCTAGAAACGTCAATTTCGAAATAAAACAAAAGATACGTTTCGTTATTCGTTTTTACGTTCAAAAACATTTTTCCAAATTTCAAATAATTTATGAAATGATAGAATTTTTTTAAATTTGAATTTTTACAAAACTATATATAAAACTAGGTACTATTTACTATTAAACTGTCCTCTCGATGTACATTTTTAAACCATTTTTGTGACTATTTATTTTTCATGTAGCAGTTATTTCAATCCAATATTACCTGCTGTGATGAAAGGACTTAAGAGAGAGATAACATTATTCAATCTATTGAATAAATGAGACAGAAAGACCATACTTGAAATGTGAGAATAAAAGAATGAATTTCTGAAATTCGTAACAAGTTCGACCGTTCGATTAACTTGTTTTGTGGTGTTAAATTTTGATTTGATGACTTCTAATATAGTAAATAAAAAATTATGGCAGACTTCGACTGGAACAATTATTTGGAAGTGAATAAAACTATCGCTGTTCCTGAAGAATTATTTTCACATGTAAGTTTCAATTTTATTATTTGTTACATGTTGTATAATATATTTTTTACGATGATTCTGCAATGAACTTAGTAAATTTATTATTAAATTAGTTAAATTATTATTTTCACTGTATGTAATAGTTACATTTATACAAAAACAATAGTTGTTAATAGGCAAATACGTTTTATTACGAAAATAAAACATGATAGAGTAAATTCATCTCATCTTATTTCTATTTATAAACCATGAATATAATAACAATATCTTTATTATGTTCTTTTACATATAATTTATGTTGTTATTTCGAATGTTGTTAATTAGTTACAGTGATATCTAGTATTATTATTGTAAAATATATTTTAATTAAGTGTGAAACCATATGGTTATGAACTTCATAATGACTTCCATTAAATTTAACAAATGGTTGTTATTACTTAATGTTTAATTTCACATAACACAAAGACAAGAAAGAAGTGTGTGTACATTGAATTCATTTTTAGATTGATGAAATGATCAAGGAAAATTTTATAAATATTTTAAGTGTTTTATATGTGCTGCTCATGTCATAATAATGGTGGCTATGTAAATTATATAAAAAAAAAACTTAAACAGACTGAATAACTTGTTTTTAAAAGAGTTGTTGAAGTCTTATTTTAGTTTTAATTATTTATAATTTAATGATACTTCTAGAGAAATAAATACTACTTTCAAAGTTAGGTAATTGTCATCTATTTCAAGTCTTTAATTAATTGTATTTACGGGGTTATTTAATTTCTTGTTAATATACACTTAGAATATACACCAATAAACCTTTTATTTGCTTAAAATAAAATCCTTAAGGTTTTTAACTATATTGAATTTTTTGATGGAAAATGTAATGGGCCTTATGGATTTTTATTTGACACCCCATGATTATGATTTGCTTTTTGATAAAAAAATAAAACACAAACATATCATAGAGCATTTGGCATTTCAATTAAATTACCTGCTTATTTCCTTTTCATGTTTTTGTTTGTTATTAATTTATCAGTAAAATAAATATGCTTATTATTACTTAGTATTAACATATCATGAACAGAGAATATAGGTACAATCAATGGATATTTTGCAACACAAATGCATTTATTGTCCTTCAATGTGTTTTTATCTTGTATGTGCAAAATAAATACAGAACCTACAGCACCATGTTACACTCACTTTTAACATTATAGTATGTTATTTATTCTTAGCACAGGAGCAAAGAAGTTTTACTATATTGTTGTTTTGTTATAAATATTTTTTTTATTTATTTATTAAACACATTACATTGGACTTACAAAATAAAAATAGTCCCACAAACTGTATTCACAGTTTGGTTGTGGAATCACTATAATTTTACTTATAACTAAACAACTTAAATTTATTATACCCTACTCATGTTGCTCATTATTAATTTGTAATTTATAAGTTATTGTTTCTGTTGTCCCTATAAAGGTGGAAACCAGTCTCTACAATGGTATTAAACAGGGAATGTTGCTGGAAGTATGTCACAAGAACAATCCAGATATCTACTGGATAGCCGAGATCACCATGGTTTGCGGACATCTTCTGCGGATCAAGTTTATAGGTGCTGACAATGACTTCTGGTGCGACATATCCACCACAAAAGTCCATCCCCTGGGCTGGTGTGGGAAATACGACGAGCTTATAGAACCTCCTGATGAGATTAATGAGAAATATGGAGATACAATCATAGAAATTATGAAAAAAGCCTTATTAGATGGTCAGTCAGTGTCTATTGAGGCTTTAAATAATAAGGGTCTGTCCCCTATAGATAGAATTAAAGTTGGAATGAAAGTGGAGGTGCAGAATGTTATTGACCCATACAGATATTGGATTGCCACGGTAAGCATGTTTTTCAGTATTATTATAATTATTGTTTCCTTTAATCGCATTAGTGTCCTTGCAATGGTAGTCACAAAGTCAGCGTACATTGTGCATACTATACTTAATACCTAATACGCAAGAGTTGTTTAAAATAAATGATTTCATCATCCTCGAACTCTTCATGAATGTGACGTAGACGCAACAAATATGAGACGAGACAGCTATTGATGTTGATATTGTTCGTTATTTTAAAATAAAAATTCGTAGAGAATTTAAGAGACGAGTATTTTTATACACGTGACTTGAGATGATAAAACGTGATGATTGCATTAAGAGCAAGTTGCCAATGCGCATTGTACCGATTGTACTCGAGTAGGAAGCAAAG